CTAACTCCCCCACACCACCCCTTTACAGTGCCCCTGACTGTTTGTCATCTGTTTTTATTGATAAATATCTGGATACAAATACTACTCTGCCTTTTATTACAACAAAGAGATGTTTAAGACACACTGAAGCATAGATTTAAAGCAGGGTTAGGCTACTTATGGAGTGCCGGTATCGAGCAAGTTTTCTATCCTTCGAGGTCTCTGATGAAGCACACCTGATCTCAGGCAGGTAGCAACTCATCATGCAGGCCAGGAAACCTGCTGGATACCACCACTCCAGAATTAGGGCTGCCTACCCTTGGTTTGAAGTATTATAGAGAAGATATATGGTAAACTGCAAAACAGCAGCTGTAGTAATTGTTACAATTTGGCAACTACAACTTTATGTTTATATTAGGTTTTGGTAATGTCATAAGGTGAAGTATGCTGAGGAACAACAAAACCAAGGTAGAACAGCAGAGTCTGACTTGAACTTGAAGTGTCTTCATCCATCTTTTTTTCCTGTTTAAAGCAAATTCTTATGTTTCTTCTTGCATTGTGTTCTTATTTACTGTGCTCCTTTTCTACCATAGGCAGTGAACTTCTGGCAGGTATTGGTGATGAATGACGAACACACAGAGCGCCGCTATCTACTCTACTTCCTGCTCAGCTGGGGCACGCCTGCTTTGGTCATCATGGTGCTGGTCATTGTCCTGCTTGGTGGCTATGCCTGGAATATCCACAGCGTCTATGGGCTGGTACATGAAGATGTGTAAGTATGAGAGAGCAGAGCAGCCTAAGGGAAAACTCTTAGTGGTCTCTCTGGTTTTATTGTTATCTTTCTCTGGAATAAAACATGACAACCCCAATGCAACGATGAAATATTCAGATCTATTGCATGTTTCTTGGGAAAAGTCATCTTTGAATTTTTCCTGGAAGATTCAGGTGGTTCTTGGGGAGTTTTCTCATTTTAGCTTTATTGTGCACATCTCAGTTTTTCTGTGAGAAGTGACCCTGTGAAATACAACATCATCTCATTATGCCGATATCCGTTGTGTCATAACAAAATATTACTTTTTTCTCACCCAGTTTTCCCACAGCCAAAAAGCAGAGTTTACTTTCTTACTTGCATGGTTGCAGAATAACAGGAACATCGTGTTGATGAGAATAAATTCCTTAGATTAAGAAAAAACTGTTTTCTGAAATTCCCAGCATCACAACACAAAGGTAGAGACCAGTGGGAAAGCTTGTCACAGACCAAAGATCACTTATATTAATCCTGCCAATATTTCAGTTTTAAGCATCCATTACTATGCCTAATACTGCAAAACACCAGTAACTTTAAAGGCACAACAGTAAATAAAATACACTATAACAAATGATAAATTGCAGTATTTTCTACAGGAATTTACCTGATCACATTCCATACTACCATTCTCTAAAATGAGTTCATAGGTAATTTAAGGAAGTTTAATGCAATTTGAAGTTAAATTCCCTTCTGTTCATGTCTGCTTAACATTGTAGGCTGATTGACACATTTTCTTTAACACTGCATTTGGATGGCAAATTCTGTTGCAGCTAGTAGAATCATCCCTTTTGAAATTACTCTCCGAAAATGACAGCAGAATAGGCCATATCATGGTTTTCTTTGATGATTATGGTTAATTTCTAGTTACTGTATATATTACTGTCACTGACATATTCATAATGCAGTGGATGAGACAACAGATGACAATAATAGACTAAGCAAACATATTTACAAGTAGTTGCAGAGTAATAATCTAGTAAAAGTCATTACAAGCATTGAAGACAAAAAAAGTTGAAATCTCATAAACGGAGTCAGTCTGTAATTAATATTTTGTGATTCATTAGTACCCACTTCTGAACAAGGCAAATTTAAACAATGCTGTTTATCTCATTTTCCTACCCTTTTAGTGAGAACATCTGAAATAAATAAATTAGTTGTGCATGGTAAAACGAAACAGCAACTCTGATCACCAGTGCAGTTTATTAATTACTAGGTTAACTGCTGCCCTCTAGATGTGGGCATTTAGATGTGGGTTAATAAAAATATAATAAAATTGGTTACTGCCTACTTTTAACTCATGCCAAGTTGTGTTGCAGCCAAGATAAATGGAGTTCATGTTAAGCCAGGTACACTGTAGTTTAACAGTTCCCCAGAATGCTTGGAATGACAGTTAACCGTGAGATTGAGAAGTTCACAGAAGAAAGTAAAACATTAACCAAGAATGAAATAACATTCAATGTCATTTTCTACACCATGTATTGAAATAATAATAGATACTTTTATTGATCCCTGTGGGGAAATTTTCTGTTCACCTCCCTCGTCTTGCTCTCCATGAGACGCAGCCGCCCGTTGCGGCACCCAGGGAGCTGGGGGTTAAGGGCCTCGCTCAAGAGCCCACAGACATGCTGAGGCCAGCCTTGAACTGGCAAGCTTCTGATCACAGGCACAGAGACGTAGCCCACTGAGCCATTCACTGTCCCATAGTGCAAGGTCTAACAGTGCAAGATCTCGAATATGGCCAATCTATGTAGCTAAGCCTCATTTTCAAGGCAATAATACTGAAGTATGGGGGTACTACTTTTAATAGTCATTCATGGAATACACAATAAATTTAAGGCTTTAAAAATATACAAAATATATTTATATTTACTGGGAGATTCTGCATTCTGGTGTCCCATGTGCTTTCGAGTCCCAAATAGTAAATATGGTGGAGGTTTCATTGCTTAGAGATATACCATTCATCATCTGTTTTTCAACGATGAATGAAAATGACCAGATTGAGTCCCACATGAAGATGAATGTTCAAATTATTTTCCCTTTACAATAAGCAAGCAATGTTTGTCAGTCTATATAGCTGTTAAAGGGTCAAGTTACCTACTGATGGGTTGCAGATGCAGTGTTTGAGATGTGACACGACAGAAGAAATGTCTTGCAGAGTGATTCAGTGGCTGGTGCATGGTATTTTTGCTCCACAGGTGTTTTATCCCCAATGTGTATGCAGCCCTATGTACAGCAGCCCTTGTGCCCTTGATCTGTCTGGTGGGTGTGCTTGTGGTGTTCATACACGCCTATCAAGTCACCCACCAGTGGAAGGCCTATGATGACGTCTTTCGAGGGCGAACCAACAGCGCAGGTAGGTGTCATGAACTCCAGTGCCAAATCATGTCTAATATATTTTATACAGGAATGCCTTATTCTACTAACGGCATTATGGTATCTATGTTGTTATCGGAATGGTCAAATGGTGTTTTTGGTCCTTTTAAAACATTCATATCAAAATGCACTGTGGTGCCTGTGTCCATATGTGTGTGTGTGTGTGTGTGTGGTCCAGGTATACTTTACCTTGTGGGGACCAAATGTCCCCACAACGTGATGAATATCCATTTTTTTTGTTACCTTATAATGACCAGGTCCCCATATGGGAAAACTCTATAATAAAAATCCGTGACTAAAACTAAAAATGCAAAAACTCTTGTATTTTGTTTGGTTACTTATGGTTATGGTTAGGGCTGGGTAGGGGTTAAGGTTGTCATACTTACAGTAGCATTAGCATTTTCACCATAGAAATGAATGAGCAGTCCCCAAAAAGATATGATTACACAACTGTGTGTGTGAGTGACAGAGAGAGACAGAGAGAGAGAGAGCAGGACAGTCAACAACCGATGAATGATGTATGCTAGCTTTGCTTGTTATGTCCTTACTGTAAATAACAGGCAGTATGGGATGCTGCCAGGTATTCGTCACTCAGCAGTACGAATTTCAAAAAGTCAAGCATTGTGTGAGTATGTTCCCCAGATAACAACACTAAGAGTGACTTAGCAAATATTTTTCATGAACATTTCCAGTGCAAACTATGTTGCATTCAAACCCGATCACAACCCCGTCAGTATAGAGACTGTCACAAAATATGCCTCCAAAAATATGACCTACCAGATCCTATTTTTGTTCTTTGTTTGTGGGAGCGGTTCCCATTTTGTTTTACAGCCAGACCATAAATATCCTGTGTACTTAAATCAAAAACAATATTTTCAGGGCTCCAACCCGATGCTTCATGTGACAGGCTTCAGGCTCCCTGTGACCCTAAGCAGGATAAGCAGTTAGAAAATGGATGGATGGATGGATGCATGCATTGTAACCAGGATAAGCAGTTAGAAAATGGATGGATGGATGCATGCATGCATTGTAACCAGGATAAGCAGGATAAGCAGTTAGAAAATGGATGGATAGATGCATTGTACTACCTCAGGTTTAGTCTGAAGCTTTTTGTTCCTCTGTATTCATAGTGAACTTGTAGATGTATAACAGTACATGCACCTGAAAGTAAATACTTATATGGAAGCTCTTTTTGGTAATGTACTACAAATTACGTTCTGTAGCTTAAATAAAACTACAGTGGCACCTCAGTTCTCGAACTCATTAGAACTCGAATTTCTTAAAAGTTGAACCAACAAGTTCGAAAAAAAATTACCTAGAGCTCGATCTGAATTTCAGAAGTCAAACCGCGAACGCCGACCTAAGATACCTTGTACGCGCGGGGAAATGAGTCACGCGGCACGTCTCTCAGAGGAAACAAAGGGCAACGCTTCAGTCTCAGCCTCACATTCGCTGTGATAGCATCGTGCATGTTTACACTAGCTGAATACATATATTTAGACAGTAAAAATACATTTATACAATGATAGACAGTAACAGTAATTATTATTATATAATAAAATACATTTAAAAATAAATATTTCTTATTCATTATTTTAATATCAATAATAAACCATTAATACATTTAATTATAATAATATTGTTGTGCCGAGCGGGGACGGAACGGAAACAAAGGCGCAGACGTCAGGGAATTGGGGAATACAGGGTTTAATTACAGGTAAGGCAGGCAAAACGCAGACGGACAATACAATGACCGGACTGGGGAAACAAACTGAAACGCGGACTAAATACAGAGGACTAATGAAAACAACCAGAAACAGCTGATCACACGGGGATTCCACACGGGGTTAATGAGGGGGCGTGGCACACGGATGGAGCGGACGATCGGGGCAGGACACATTGTTTGGATACACATTGTTTGGATTTTCTTACTTTACAAATTACTGTTTTGATAAATGTGCTTAGATGTATTTAGTACAGTATATGCTCTTCTTGTTTTATCCGGTTCATTTTGTGTTTAAAAGCTAAAAAAAAAAAACATATTTAGGTATAAGTTTTTGGGGCCGGGAACCAATTAATTGGTTTTCCATTATTTCTTATGGGGAAAATTCGATCACAACTCAAACTTTAGGATTCGATCCAGAGTTCTGAATGGATTAAAATCGAGTTCTGAGGTACCACTTGTCACGCTCAGCGAAGGAGGTGAGCAGGGAAGCAAGAGAGCAAGCCAGGACTTCAGGTCGAACTGGGTTTAATGAACCAAAAACAGGCAAGCACGGACAATAATAACGAGACAATACAATGACGGATCTGGCATACATGGGGAGACGCGGACTCATATACACAGGACAAGGCAAAAGAAACAGGAAACAGCTGGGCACGATCGGGGAAGCACACGTGGATAATGAGGGGGCGTGGCACACACTAGGAGCGGAGGGAGCGGGGCGTGACACCACTGTACTAATAAATCAAACCAATTCTGTCAAATGGCAAAGGGGATACTTTTCACAATGCATGTAACTGCATTCATCTACTGCATATTTCCAATAGTCAGCTGGCAGTGAACATCATGATACTAAAAATAAAATGTGCTGAGTCACCAACAAACCCTAGAACATTTCATCATGAGCAGAATAGTATGCATCTTCACTCCCATTGGTCCTTGGAAATTTCTGTTTAACTCTGTAGCTACTGTTAGATGTTCTAGATTATAATTTCATTTGCAAAGGCCACATCCAGCCCCTAAATCAAAAAATGATTTATGGTTTAATTAGGACTATGGTACACATGCTGATACAGTAGATATTCATAGTGATATTAATGTGGGCTCAGTTGGTAGCACTGTTGCCTCATCTCAGAGTTGGGGGTTTGGATGGATTGGAAAATGGATAAATGAATGCATAAATGAACAAGGATAACCACGTGTACAGTAGTCTTACTGCTTTGTTGTACAGATATAAGTATGGAATATGTCATACATCCACCATCTGATCGCTTATCCCCGTCAGGGGTACAGAGGGGCCTGGAGCCTGTAATCGGTAGCATGTAGCACAAGGCTGCTTGTCCACCACATGGCACATACAGTATAAGATGTTTATAAACACCAATTTAGACAATGGAAAAGAACCAGAATACCTATAGAAAACCCACATGCCACAGAGAGAAGATGCAAAATCCATCCACAGTGCTAAACCCCCAGCCACGCAGGTGTAAACCCACCCAATCAAGCTGCCCCCCCCCCCCCCCCCCTTTGTGTATAAGCTGTAGTACATGGCAGCACTATGATAAACTTATTATCAGCACAGTAATTTATAAAACATAAACATAACATAACATAAATGCAAGTTTTCCAGTATCCACTTTATTTAATTGTTTTTGGGCCTGCAGCAATTTCCTCTTGCTCACTAGAAAGAAAAACATTGCAGCACAATTTAACTAGACAGGGCTGGGATCACCTAAGACATATTAATAAGCACAGATGCATTTCAGTCTGCTATTGAAAGTAACGGTTAACTCCTCAGAATATAAATTATTTCCCTGTGTGAAGATCTATGTCATTACAAGTTAAATATCAGCTCTGTGAATTAAATCAGCTCCATGTAGGTATTTAAACAACTCAATTTCTATTATGTGCAGATTTAATATCATATGTATAGGCTTGTGCCACACAGAAAAAGAGCTGATTTTGTTCTTGAGTTATCGTGAACTCATGAACATCAGAGTTCATAACATTTAAGACAGAGTCCATAACATTTAAGATTTAATATTGTTCTTGCTGTTAAGCTGCTTCCTTGTAGGAATTTGGGTTCTTATGCTGAGAACTGCATAAATTGGTTTCTCCCCAAGGAATTACAGCTGTCTTGTAAACCTGCAAATTAATCTGAAACAAGCTCTTAATAGTCATTTTATAAATACCGATATCCATGATATTTGTGCAGTCTTTGCATACAGAATTTGAAAAACCTGACTGGTGTGAACTCATTCTCAAGCCAAAGTCAGGAATACAGTTACATAGGTAGGGAAGGAGGAAGACGACCATGTACATGCAGAGCTGGGCACAGGGAGCAAACCTGGGTCTGTTGCCTGGAATATTGACTCTCTCTCTGCAATGCATGGCCTGTTTTTCATTGCAGACCCATCCGATAACCAGTCTGGTTGTTTGTCATCAGCAGCTGTTTTATTCCAATCACACACTCATGGGGCCTGTACTGCGAAGCGGGGTTAATGGCTTACCGGGGTAACGTGTGTAAGTGAACGAATACGAAGTCCATTTCCTTAAATTGTTTTAAATCCGACAAGTTACCCCGATAAGCCAGTAACCCCACTTCGTAGTACAGGCCACAGGTCTTCACTTTTTTTTTTCCTATGATATTAAAAAAGCGTCTCTGATTACTAATGAAAAAGTGATTTCAGAGCTGGTTTGACTCCATTTGTAGGAAAGCTTAGCACTACAAAGGCTGGCGTAGCCTATTCCAAGAGCCACATGGTGATAATCCCTGTTTATACCTCAGGCTGTTGCTTAAGAACAGTGAGCTTAACCCTGTGGGAGCAGCAGCTGCAGACGGGCATTCAGGCGTGTAGCCAGCCCTCTGACCGGCCATCTCATCAGCCCTTTTCCCCTCTCTTTGTTTTTCGGAGAAGCCGACGGAGAAGCACGTCCTCTCGTGGGAAGTGGGCCAGACAACTCCTGGCCTCAACCACTCAGAGTCCTAATTTCATCACTCTGACCTTTCATTGTTTGTACTCTTTTACCTGACCTAATCACTAAAGTCAATATACAGTCTTAAATGTTATATTTCCAATAAATAATGTATTTTTTGGAAAAGCTAATAATTTATAAATCAATAGTGGTGCAGATATAGTAAGAAACCAAAATGTAATTTTTATGGAAAATTTAAATTCATGGAATCTTTAAAAAATAATTGAAAAATGTATTTTTGTTACCAGTTTGCTATATGGGTGAATAGCGGAGATGGTCATGCCTGGATGTTCAGCGTTCAATAATGATTGTAGACCTTTTCTAGCTACTGTACATAGAAGAGAGCAATGGCGCAGTCTCTCAGACCAATGATGATCTTGCATGTTTCCAGCAAAATTAAAAATTACCTTTTACTTTCCCCATCTGGTTTCTACATGCTCACAAAGATATAACAGGTCTCTCTTACAGCAACTGTTTTCTAGAAATGCTGAAGCGTTGTTGCCTAGCAAAGGGGAGGGGGGGTTGACTATATCACTCTCTTAGCATGTCAGGCACTGGTACCCTTGTGAGTTTCTGTGTATAGCTGGTGACGGTATATCTATGCCGTGAGCCTAGCTGAACCTGATCCCAGCTCTTTGACGATCTTGTCTTGTGCAGTATTCCTTTGATTTGTGTAACACTTTAATATTATCTAAACAGAAACTGTATAAGTCGATTACTGTAGCAATCTGCTACTTTTACAACCAGCAGCCCAGTAGCATGCCAGTCCAAATATGGGGAGCTCTGCTCTATAATAGTATACACTATATGGACAAAAGTATTGGGACTATTATTCCCACAGGAACGTTTATGACATCCCATTCTAAATCCATAGGCATCAATATGGAGCTGGTCCCCCTTTGCAGCTGTAACAGCTGCCACTCTTCTGGGAAGCCTTTCCACAATTTTGGAGTGTGTCTCTGGGAGTGCATACCAAGGCATTTTGGACAATTTTATGTTTCCAACTTTGTGGGGACAGTTTGGGGAAGGCTTTCTTCTGTTTCAGCATGACTGTGCCCCAGTGTACAAAGCAAGGTCCATAAAGATATGGTTATGGGTGAGTTTGGTATAGAAGAATTTGAGTGGCCCACACTGAGCCCTGACCTCAACCCCATGGAACACCCTTGTGATGAACTAGAATGGAGACTGAGGCAGGCCTTCACATCCTACATCAGTGCCTGACCTCACAAATGCTCTTCTGGATGAATGGGCAAATATTCCCACAGATATACTCCAAAATGTTGTGGAAGCCTTCCCAGAAGAGTGGCAGCTGTTATAGCTGCAAAGGGGGACCAACTCCGTGTAGATGCCGACGGATTTAGAATGTAATGTCATAGAATGTCCTGTGGGTGTAATGGCCAGATGTCCCAATACTTTTGTCCTTAGAGTGTAAATAAGTATTATAAATAAGTAGTATATATTAATCGTAATTATCATATACATATCGAGATGACAACTAGACAAAGCATAAGAATAAGCCTCAGAATACATGTCAAATTAATCTTCATTAGCACCACTAGTCAATAAGAGTAAAACAATGCTAACGACAATGCTAACGACAATGCAAACACAATGGGGAATGCGTGTGGGAGTATGAACGGGCCATGGCTTATATACATCAGCACACTCAGCATGCAGGGAACAACACAGGGCAAGAATGAACTAAATTTGCTAAACTAAACAAAAAACAACTGGAACTGAGGGGGAAGGCCCAAAACTCCTAATAGCTAGCCACCTTATCCAGTCATGGCCAGATATGCGAGTTAGTGTCAGGCTTACGTCACCAGCCCACATCACAGCCGGCGATCGACAAAACTACATGAGACGTATCTGCCTCTATGCTGCTGCCTTTTCCATAACTTCTGATGCCATCATTTTACAGAATATTTCTGTGAATGTGCTCCCTTGACCATGATCCGTGTGAGAAGTGTGAGATGCCCTGTATGCTGTTTGTTACAGAGGTTCCAATGGTGCTGACATTGTTTGCTCTGGTGTCCCTGGTCTGGCTTTGGGGAGGACTGCACATGGCCTACAGACACCAGTGGATGCTCATCCTCTATGTCATTTTCAACTGCATGCTGGTAAGACTTTCCAGCAACTGGTTTGTTACAGGCAGCCTTCCATTCAATATCTAATTCTTATGGATTGCATTTACAGTCCTTTCCCATAACCTATTTCCTTCTTCAGAAAGCTTAATAGTTTAAGTTTCGCTTACTGCAGTTACAGTGCACCGCTGAGGTATCACAGAATATGCCATTGCTTAACCCTAGACTAATTCAGTTTTTTTACACTATGTATTTAGTGTTTTGTTTTATGATTTTTCTTCAATATACATTGTTATAATAAAAACATGCAAGTATAATTGTGTATAATTACTGAATACCGATCCGTCTGCAAAGGCCAGCAGATGACACATAAAAAGTTTAGCAATTCATAAATGCATAAAAGACACGTGCAGTGCTGGTCTGGAGGACGCCAACCTGGTTACATGATATTTCACTGTGATCTCACAGTGATCTGTGTCTCTGGGTTTCTTGCACCTTTTTGCTTCACTCCTCAAGGGCACCAAAACATTTTACACAGTTTTTCCAGATAGCAGGGGGCCTGTAAAAATAATAAAATTGAAAGTGCTTCATAATTGGCTTTTATTTAAAAAAAAAAAAAAAAAAAACAAGAATTGAGGCTGATGTGATTAATTTCATATTGAGTAAAAAAACCTATAATTCTGATTAAATAACTAGAATTGAATTATATAGCAGCATTCATAAATTTTCAACCCCACCACCAGGCGCTGGCACCGAATTTTGGTTGTCAAAAGAAAAACAATTTGGTCTGTTTTTATGATTAGCCCATATTTGTTTTCCAGAAACACGTTCCCTCACGTTCTGGTCATTAACCATCGACCCCTTTGGCTTCCAGGGCCTCTATGTTTTTGCAGTGTACTTCATCATGCATAACCAGCTGTGCTGGCCAGTGAAAGCTAGTTACACAGTGGAGATGAATGGTCACGGCAGCCCAGACTCCACCTTCCAGGGTAGCAGCACTCCTGCTGTCGGTGAAGAGATCAGCAAATCCACACAAAACCTTATCAGTGCCATGGAAGAGGTACTGTATCAACTCCACACCCCTCATAGTCATCACCTATCTATTCACCTTTTGGCTTCATCTTTGGTATTTTATTTGTTTTATTCTGAATCTTGCAGGAGTTGTAGTATCCAGTGTTGGGTCTCTTAAGCTCTTTATAATACATACTGTATATCCATCTTCTAAACACTTATTGTCAGGGGCACCAAGCAACACAGGGCACAAGGCTAGGGTACACCCTAGATGGGATGCCAGCCTATTGCAGGACACAGACTATGGAAAACTGAAAGTTGTAAATTAGCTTAGCTGCATGGCCTGTGGGATGAACAGTAAGATTCACAAGTTTTGTTCAAATGAGATTTGCAACACAAGACATGTCCATTTGCAAACAAGGGATCAGCGTGTTCCTATTGCGGTGATTGTTGTGAGCAGATGTGTCAATGCTTGCAGATTCATAATAAAAAAAAAACTATATGTATACTCATAATTATGTTTGCTAAGCTGTTAGAGAAAGCAATGACAGCAGTTTATTATAAAACCTGGCACAGACATTCTTTCCAATTTATATTATCAAATAATGACTTGCTTCAATAGTAAGGTTCTATACTATACTATACTATACAAATTTTTACTGGCCTAGCTTATCGCATTTCTTTTAATGCTAAGACAGAATAGTGACAAGAAATCTTCTGCCTGCATCAGCATTTTGGTGTCTTGAATGGGTGAATATGTACATGTATATACATGTATATATGTTTTGTATGTGTATGGCAGCATGTGCATTTCCTCGTATTTGCCTCCAACCATGCGCACCATGTATGACTGGCCATTTGCTGTAGGTCTCCACGGACTGGGAGCGAGCATCCCTCAGGCCAAGCAGCCAGCCCGGAAGCGTGTCCAAGCAGGGGCCCCAGAACGGCACAGCCTACACCACCGAGGGGGGCTTTATCGGCACTAATTTGGTCACCGACGAGGAATCCCAAGAGTTTGATGATCTCATATTTGCATTAAAGACCGGTGAGAGGCACAGGCCTATTCAGAAGCCTTGAATTTATAAAAGTCATAAATGGTTTATTAAATGTTGTTAGATGCATTTCATTGATAACTGCAATGTTTAATTGTTTGATTTGACTAGATAGCTGCAGCAAATTAACTTATCTGGGGCCCTTAGGCTGACATCACGACAATCACTCACCCTTGGAAACCTAGCTCACTGTTCTGGGCTTTTCATAGAATTTTTCATCTTTTACTGTAAGATATTGTTCAAATGTTAGTGCTGATAATCACTGCATATGCATTGGTATAAGAAATTGCCAAGCTAAATAAGAACAGAAGCCCAGTTTCTGAATTCAGATTTATGTGAACGATAAATCTCTGTGATTGCCTGCTTCTGGTTATTTTAAATTTTGTCAGTGGATAACTTTTTGGTCGTACATTCATTTTTTTTATTATGTCTGTGATCTCTGCAGGTTCAGGCCTGACCATCAGTGACACGGAGTCAATCCATGGGAGTCAAGATGGTGGCAGTGTTGCCAACTCCCAAATTGTAGAGCTAAGAAGAATCCCTATTGCAGACACACATCTCTAACCTCTCATATTTTGTATTGGTAAAAAAGATCAGTATTTTTGTACTTTTACTGCTTTTTACTACGCTAAACTACATGGGCTAGTACACATTTTTGTTAGTTGTTTGATGCAATGAAAATGGTGGTTTGATTCCTGTTTTTGGGTATGTACTGAATGTGTATGTATATTGAAACATGCACATATTTTTTTTTGTCTTTTCAGTGACTTATATCTACTGAATGTAAATATCATGTAGAATTTATAGATATACAGTCCTAATTGTGTTGTCGGATGATGTAGCATTGTTAATAAATAATTCACAATGTTTTACATGAGAGGTTTGCTTTCATTTTCTATCACACATTTAAAAAAATACTACTCAAGCAGACTTTTATTATGAAACCTTAATGGTGGAATCATTGAACAGAAAGACTCAAGGCTAACACTAGACACTGGTTTTAGCACCTCATTTTTATAATTTAAATGCAGAGTTAAAGACAACACCAAGGTTACCTTACACAGCATATTGTCATTTGTACAAAGCAGAATCTGAAATTCCTTATAATAAGTAACCCTTTTTGTTATGACTAAGAGAGTTTCTCAAATGCTTTTCATAATCTATTTTCATAAAAAAGGAAATCTGAATGTAGTTCTTGAAGGTCAATCATAGAAATGAAGTTCTTGGAAAGCTTGCTGATGTTACTCGCTTATATTGTGTGTGTCATGCCAAAAACAATAATCCCTTTTATTCCAACTGAAATGATTTATACAGTCAGTCTCTTTCATAGCTTGAACTGAATACAGATGGTTTGGCTAGAAAGTAAGATGTGTAGGATGGGAAACCACAGGCTTTGAAAAAATGGGCCAGAATGACAAGTCATGGAGAAATGTAGAAAATTTTGAGCTGCCTGTTCCAGACAAACAGAAAATGACAAGTGTTGTGTTACGTCCTTCCCATCCTGTCCACCTGACCCTCATCTCCTCCCTAACATGGCCCTGATGTTGTTACCCTTGTTAGTTCTTGTACTTAAGTACCCGTTTGTCTTGTCAGTTCCTGTCTGGTCATTGTCACTCCTACTGTCTGCCTCTGCCTTCGTCCTCAGCCATATTCATCCTTTTGTTTTGTCCCCTCATAGTCTGGTTTGTTTCCCTACTTCAGCTTAGTTCAATAAACCCCTTTTGTTCACCGAAATACCTGTTCATGAGTCCTTCATCTTGCAACTCAAAATACACATTACTTCAGCATGAATTTGGTCCTTGTTTGTTGCTGATAATAATTGATACTTTATTAATCCCATGGAGAAATTGTCTTAATGCCTCCCTCAACTTGCTCCTTGTAGAGTAAGTTGCTTGCAAAGGGCAGCCACCCATAGTGGCACCCAGGGAGCTGGGGGTCAAGGACCCACAGACGTGCTGAGGCTGGGTTTGAACCAGTGATTTAGTATGAAAATAACTAGCTCAATGCATTTTTAAATGTTTTCATGTTATGGAGGAGTTTGATACATGAATATTGATAAATGCACAGATCTAGTTGAGGCACGTTCATAGATTAAAGATGACAAGAGTTGTCAACAGCATTTTAAACTCAGTTATAGGGCCAGAAATACTGTATTTATAAGTGAATATAAAATAAATGTTAATTACAATACCTGCAGACTATAAATATATTCCTAAAAAAATTACTGATAAAGACATGAACATGCCTCAAGTCAGTGATATGATCAGTATTAGATATGGTTTGTTCATATACAAGTCAAAGACATTCTTGAAGTAAATATTTATCATGTAAATTCTTAGGTGTAAACCTAACAAATAACAGACCAAATCATTAAGATTTGGTCTGTTATTTGTTAAGTTCCCAGAGAAATGCGTTCTGGCTTTTCTGAGGTAGAACCAGTAGAGCTCAGCAGGGCTTCTTCTCCGTGGAACCACAGAAGGTTACAGGGCTTGCAAGTAATATCAGGTATAAATCATCTCAAAGGGTCCTCAGACATTGGGTACTTCTCACTGAGGTGCCTTTTCTGGTTATGTATTTCATTTTCAAACAGAGGATGGAAGTGCACTGCTTATCCACTGCAGTCAAAGAAGGATATTGCATGAACATTGTTAGATGGGGTCCTATTGCCGCAAAATGTTTCAGACATTAATTGAGCTTGTAATATGAAGCAGCTCGCTGCCCTCTCTGAAGATTACCGAGGTGAAATCCAGACGCCCTGGAGGATCAACCCTCAATCAGCTTCCATAACTTGATAACTTCATTTCAACCGACAGTTGTCCAGGTCTGCTTAGTATCACAATATAGCAATGTCCAATGTTTTACAGAACATACTGCTTAGAATCAATAGTAGACAAAACTGTGAGGTTAGCAACGTAGCCATATATCCTCATCATTATTGCATATTCTGTAAGTATCAATATCATAAAATAACTTTTACACCTGGCAGAATTGCAGTACATTGTACCATCAGCTGGATGGCTTCCGCATAGCAGAGTTCATTAACATTTCCCAGCATGCTCCCTGGTATCATAAACTGCCCTTGTCTGTGTATTTGCTGTGTACCCACTTATTGTCTGTGCTCTTACCCATGTTTGTACGTGTCCTTGCCTGATCCATTAGTGTCATTAACCACTTTGGAGTTACTGTGTGCAGTGAGACCTCCCCATGTTTCCCTGTCATGTGTGGTGAAATGATATTGCTGGTATTGTTTTGGTGCATGGCTTGATTTGCTGTTGCTTGTGTGTTGCACTACAGTTCCTGTAAGGGCAATACCCTAATACTGGCATAATCAGTATCAAATTATTTATTCCATTTGGCACTGCTTTGAATTGGTAACGTGTATTATGAAAATGTTTTTACATTATTACAAACTCATTACTTGTTATTACTTGCTGGCAGTCCATCTTATATACTTCAGTAAATTTATAAATGATATGTTCATTTAAAAGAGCTATTAACTGGTGCATGAATCGGTATGTCAGAGACTGGCAAGCAGAGCAGGGCAGAGATCTGTCTCCATGATGACAGCACTTCTTGAGCTGTTTATCTGTGGGCTCTGCATATGTCACTCTTATAAGATTAACAATAATCTTGTTACTAGCAGGCTGTAAAGTCATACAAAACATACAGAAAACAAGAAATAAAATGAGAAACAAAGATAAATAGCAAATGAAAGTATCATTAATTACATTTCTGTATGCTAGTGTATTAGAAAATATCATAATCATTATTATAAGTATAAGTATGTTTAAAATGTGCTGTTACAGTTAAAACAGACCATTATAATTAGAATACTCAGCATTTGATTGAAACAGATTCAATTTAATAATAAATCATGTAAGTGAATTAGTCAAATAAGTTTAGCTGTACCTCAATGTAAATGAAACTGTGAAGTAAAAACAGATGAAAGCTCCTGATTCATGCTAAGTAAGGGGTTGTGCACAGACAGAGACAGCGCATAGACAGCGCATAGACAGCATAGACAGCCTGCTAAATGGTCCACATATACTTTGGAAAGGCAGGATCAATCCATTGTGCAGATGCACATCAGAATGTGGCCATTAATTAATTTAGCAATGCTGAAAGAAGGCCTTTCTGGAGATTACATGAATCAGCACTGGCTCATCCTTCAGTGCGAGAGACAGGAAGAGAGGATGAGAAGGGGGGGCGGGGGGCGACAAACCAGTGACTCGGGCTTTGCTGTGACACAGGAAACCGTGTGCAATGGGAAACCCTGCTCTGCCGACTCACAAACTCCCTTTCTGATTCTCTACCAAGTAAACACAAAATACATAACCTTATTTACCAAACTATCCAAACTAAGATGCCATATCTCAGTATATAGTTTATCAGAACTCGAAACCATTACAGTTCCTCATATCAGGATCGCAGCTAGAGTTTCTGTCACCTTGGGCCCACCACATCATTTTACAGATAATTTTACACATATAAGAGCCCCTGAAGTGCTGAGCGCCCTGAATCTGGGAGGGTATCCAGGTTCCTACTGCACCTGTGCCTCATATTAAGATGCCTGAAATCTGCCTGGTATCCTCCTAGGTCTGTCACTATATACATTTTTAAGCTAGATAATAAAAAATGTAATATAAATCCAAAGAGGGATTCAATTAAACATACATATGCCTTGTTTGCATTCTAAGAATGTTTTTCTTATGGTTTTAGTGAGAAGAAAAAAAATCTTGAGACACTGCTATTTTTCTGCCAGGATTTAGACACAAACATAAAGGCAAGACAGCCCTGAAAATCCTGACATTCAAACATTCAAACCTCAAGAGAGCCCATGGTCTGTTTATGCAACACTCTGATAACCTAGAACACTTGAACAGAAAAATGTATGAGTACATGAGTATATCAGTTGAATACAGCCTGTTTGGGATGCATACTGATTCTGTCAGGAGAGAAAAGTCTGGATGCTCTTTGTATGAAAGGGATATACAAGAAAAAATGTCAGGTTTGATTTTGTAAATAAAATTTTCAGGTGATCCAAAACGTTTGTTTCTCTTTTCTACAAACTAAAATGTGTGAGCATGTGTTTAAGTAAACAGTAAAACAGGAGCAAAGAAAACTGCTTTGATATGTAATAGAGGCAGTGTACACTTCTGAAAACTCCAGATTCTCAGCTCCTGATTGATAGTCCAACCAGTGGAAGGCCAAATGGAAGGGTGCAAACTGGACTACCACTCTCAACCCCACTCTTCACTGCTGGTGATTCTGCACCGTGTAGCTGATTCAGGACTCATTGTGACTCAGGGGGAAATAAATCAACCAAATTAAACTGTTACATGAATCAGCTAAAGTCTAAAAATAGACACAGAGGGATTGGTTTTTAATAAAACTGTAAATGATACTAAGAGCCTTTGAATATATGGAACAAACGTGTAAGTGAATAAATTTTGGAATATCACATAAAGAAAAGTCACTATGACAATATTTTGTTCCAAAAAATGGTTTTGAGCAGCCCTGAGAGAACCAAGGTTTTTATCCCCCAACCACAAAACAATACAGACACTGAAAGCCTTCTGTTTTACAGCATTCAGTGATGAGCAGCATTTATTTCTATGTTGCTTAGTAATCTTTTTCATATAGGACAAAATTTGAATTCAGTTAAAAAATCCATCCATTCATCCATCCATTAATTTTCCTTCCAGCCACTTTCCAAGTACAAAGATTGGTGGAATAAAAGATAACAGAAAACCACTTGACAGAAGCCCAAAACCAAAAACAATGTAATTCGTAATACTTCACTTATTTAGCTATTAGTATTTATGGAAATAGATATCCAGGGATCAATGTGATTGGCAAGTAAGATAGAAACAGAGTGTACCTTGTCTGAAGAAAATCAGGTCTGTTAAGTCTCTGGACTCCTCAGTGCCTATTGTTAGCATTTCCATGACAACCCCCCTACCGCGCATGCATGTTACCCTATTCCACTCTAGGTAAACAGCTGGTGTGATCTTTCAGTGTGAAACCCAGACTCCAAGTTAAGAGGTTGCACATGTACATGGAAATTAACCTGTCCTCAAATTATTCTTTCCACCTTGTCTGGTCACTTCAGTATCATTATATGTTTAGTCTAGCTTAGTCTGCTCATCTTATAGCAATATCACCATAGAATAATACTGTGACATAGAAATTGAGGAACTTTGTTTGTTATAAGTTACATGAGCATAGAACTTGGAAGCAAGGACAGAGCAGGTGAGCTCTTGTGTAACAAATCTTGGCTCTTGGGTAACAAACCAAACAAAATGACAAAAAAACGTAAAACCAGAACACTTTGTTTTGAGCCCTGTGGCCTGTATCACAAAGCTGGATTTCATGCTTGTTCAGATACTTTGTTGGATTTACAGTTACCCCACTTTAAATAGACTTTATTTTCATTCAATTACATTTAGCCCTGACTACCTTAAATCTGACAAGTTATCTGATTAAGCAAGAAAACCTGCTTCATGATCCAATCCCATGCTCTCTCTCGCAGGAAGTCTGAGGGAAGTGAGAGTTTTTGGGTACAGAAAAACAATCTATTTTAATAGTCTGGAACATCCATCTATCATCTAAATGCTTATGCCTGGTGAAGGTCATTGGGAGGTGGGGGGGGNACCTACAGCCTGGCAGGATAGTGCATAAGACTGGGTTAGACCTGGGATGGGGTGCCAGTCCACTGCCAAGCACATACACACATGCAACACAGGTAATTTAGAGACGCAATGTGCCTGGTCAGACAACTTCCTGTGGGCTGGTGAGTGTGTCAGCAGGATTAGCTGGAGAAAGAAAACAGCTGAGCCTTGTGTAATGTCAGCACTCCATAATCACCAGCCTGCTCACCACAATAATACCACGTTACTCCTTTCCGTCTCCAAACGTAAGTAGCCCTCAATGACCTGGTCCAGCAAGCATAAAAGACAAGATGGCCAGGAAGTAGACATTCATCAGTCCATCTCCTAACAATTTACCCTAGCTCAGGTCACAGGGGTCATGGAGCCTAACCCAGGCAACATACTGTAGTACACAAGGCTGGGGTATATCCTGAATGGGCTGCCAGTCCACCACAGCGACCTGCAGGCACTCACACACCAAATTATACTCTATGGGCAAATTATACCCTCGCGGACAAATAAAGTTTTTTTAATTGAATTGAATTGAATTTCAGTGCTAATTAACCTAACTGCATGGAGTTTGAATGGAAAAGAAGTAAACATCTTTGTCAAACTTGTATGACATGCTGACTGCATTTAGTGACTGCCAGATAAGGTTACATTACACGTAATGAAATGTAATCCTTTGCTTTTCTAATTTCATGTCTAGCAACACTCCATCTTGGCAAATGGGACTCATTCTGTTGCTGATATAATAATGCAGCACATTGTGAGTGAGAGTTAATTCTCAATTGAGTTTTACTCAACTGCCTCAGATGTTTAGGCATCATCTGAGGATTCTTTTTTCCATTGTTATGCTGAATCTGTTCTGTTCTTTTTCTGTCAGATATGAAACGCTATTTTTACGCAAACATACAATACTTCAGTTATCTCTGAACTGCAAAGCTAAACTTTAGGATATTTGCTAACACCTCCCTATGATGTGCCACCTAGGAAATTAATTACTTGCTATAGTATAGCTACCATCTGGCTTGGGGTAAGAAAATTTAACATGAAGATTATTCACCATTTTCACCCTGGTGTGAGACAATACCCACTGTGCCAGAATAATCATATAGTAGCTCTATGACTATTCAATGTGTATTAAACTAAGTTTATACATGGACCAGGATTGGGTTTGGAACTTGTATAGTTTAAACTAATAGTTGCACATCTTTCCTAAGATCACCTTATATGTACACATAGTTCTCAACTTTATGAGCTAATTCATTCCAAATAAGTGCTCGTTAAACGAGAACTCAAAGCTGGAGATTTTTTCCCATTGAAAACTTTACAAGCCAAAAAATGGTTCCAGCCAAAAAATCCTCAGTCTTATTTTTTTGCCAAATAAACAAAGGAGACACAAAGTATTATTAGAATTAACATTTCATAAAAAAATATTTGCCCATTTAAACAAAAAAACCTTTGGAGAAAAACTAAAAACATTTTGTTAAAATCGTAACACTCAAAGTCAGTTTTGGTCACTTAGATGTTCAGCAGATGTGGTGTTTTTCTTCATGTATCCCATTCAGAGCTGGTGGAGATCGCTTACAAACCGTACGTGAAATGAACCTAGAGTATTAACGGGATCAGGCTGGGTCGTGAAATAAAGTGGTACAAATAGGGCACTATCGTAAAATATTCTGTAAAGTATAATCCTACGCAACGCACAGACGTGCATGCACAGTCGATAATTCACACAGCAAGGTTATCTGAAAACTTTGTCGGGTCACAGATAGCTCTCTTTTAGCAGCGTGTGTTGAGTAACCCACATTTTTAAGAAATTATAAAAAATGAAATTTAAATTTCTGCCACAGAAAATATAGATAGATATAGAAGATACAGACTCATATATCAGGTGCCTTGAAAGTGAAAACTACCTGTACACAAATGGGGTTTTAGGTTAGTGGAATATGACTATTAGCACAATAGATGGCAGGAAGCATGTGGACGTGACTATTAATTAGAGTAATTGACTAATTAAGTCACTGTAATTACTGACACAGTTGAATAATTAAGCACACAGCCATGGAATCTCCAGCATTAGCCAGCAGAATGGGACTCATTCTGTTGCTGATATAATAAGCCAGCAGAAGAGGTTAGTGACTTTCAACTTGGCACCATCTTGGGGCATCATCTTTTCAACAAATCAGTTCCCCAAATTTCTGCCCTGCTACAGCTGCATGGTCAACCACAAGCATAGGGCAGCGTGTGGCTCAGTGGGCTAAGCCTGTGTGCCTGTAATCAGAAGGTTCAAACCCAGCCTCAGCATGTCTGCGGGTCCTTGAGCAAGGCCCTTGACCCCCAGCTCCCTGGGTGCTACTGTGGGTGGCTGCCCTTCGTGGACAACTTACTCTACAAAGAGCAAGCTGAGGGAGGTGTAAAAACTATTTCCCGATGGGGACAATAAAGTATCAATTATTATTATTAAGTGGAAATGCCAGCTGCGAAGCAGCAGCCACACAAACGCACTGAAAGGGACCAGATCACCCAACATCAATACCCAACATTCAAGTCAACAAGTCCCAACAGCATATGCTGAAAAGTCTAATGGAATGCCTTTCCGGAAGAGCAGAGGCTACAGAAACAAAGGGTGGGCAAACTTCTTATTAATATTTTTGGTTTCAGAATGATATATTGGACTGGCTGGTGTCATTTTGAAGTATAATGCATACCTTTGCTGATTCTAAAGACAGAAACTGCTGTTAAAAACAGGTTTCAAGATGACTTTAGATATTGTTCCAAAATTCCACAAGATATATAACTAAAATATTGCAATGAATGCATGTTTTTACACTTACTTAAATACATCATTTGTAATAGATTTGTTCGACAGTTGTAACATTTTCCTAACACTTGTCACAATGTATTGAAACTTATTTCAAATTTACAAAACTATATCAACAAAAAAATCCAGAGAAAAAAACTTAGAAATTAGAAATATATTTTCAACATTTTAACTTTATTTCAGACAGAAAAACAGTTAAAATCATTCAGAACAATAATGCATCCAAACAGAATCTACTGTCAATTAACATCAACAAACTAAAAAGGTAAAAAAATATATATTGCACTTATTTCTACATTTTTTAAGATCCCACTCTCCAGCATCCAAACATTATGGCTCCCAAAGGAAATCAGATGCCTAGCTATAATAACTGACTGCAGTGGAAGCCTAAGGACTATGGAACTGGCAGATGTGAAACGGAAAATGTGTCTGATATACTTTCGCAGCCTTTCCGACCTAAAACCTAAAGTCACTAACATAAACACGGAAAACACAATTCTGTCTCAATATGGCAGTTATTTGCAACAGATTTTAATTCCTGTGGAGATGAAATCTGAATAAGTACAGCTAATGTTGTTCCCAAGATCTAAAATAGACAAACATAAAAGGTGTTTCACTGGAAATAAACACCAAATCCCTAAATCCCTATTATGTAGACATAATTGAACAAATTAAAGAAAAACAATACCAAGGAAAACTCAAATACTCTCCCAGGAATCATCTTTAAAACTTTCTTTGTAGGACTATTTTTCCCTTTTTGTCACAATTTTACAAGATTTGTAGAAGCAGCAGCACAAAGAAAAGCTGAGCTGTAAATGATCTTAAGTATGCATTTTTGAATAATTATACCAGAAATGTCAAGGCCATATATTGTCAGAAGCTTGCTGGTCTCAGGTATATACGTATAATGATTTAAATGGTTAGTTAAACTTTTAACTGATGTGTTTCATTTTAGAACTGCACTGACAGAGGACTTTCCATTGTGAAAAGTTTTGTGATTACCAAACCTTGTTCAAGCCTTCACCATTAATAACTTTTACTTTAAAGTGCTTTACAATTAAGGCTCTCCAAAACCAATCTCAAACTGGTTGTCATTATATGAGTTTGAAAACAAATGTAGCACTCATTTAAACCTACGACTACTTGACCAGTTTAAAATGTGGTTTCGCAACATGCAATTTCTCTCCTGCTGTATCAGTATGGCCTCCGTGGCCTTTCACACTACTGTCTTGTTTCATGCTTTAACCTATTCCTTAAAGTTATTTCTTGGTTTCATTGGCTTGGGTTGATGTCTGGATTCTGCAAGTGCAGCAGGACAAAAAGGGAATGTCGTCAGCCTGTAAAAGCTGCCTTAAAACTGCACGTATTCCATCTTGTTTATTTTTCCTTCCTTCAAATCACACAGTGCAACTGAAACAAGAGTGTCTTACGAACCGTTTGGCAAGTGGCATCACCTGAGATTGAGTGCTGTTTTAGGCAGTACGGAACAGAGCATTACTCTTTAACACAAGTCGACAGGCAACAAATGCTCTACATTGTGTGGCCTTGTCTACCAGGTGCCAGTCCTACCCATGTCTATCTAAGTTTGTTAACCAACACAGAATAATACACATCTGCATGCACATACACATGTACGTGCACACATACACAAATCTTGTGCCTTATCTCTTGCTCTTCTACAATAAAGTCTATACAATAAAAATGCAAAGAAAACAAAATCTGGATTGAAGGTAATTTGCAACAAGAAAGCAAATACTTAAATCTGAGTCAATGAAGCAACAGGTAAAGAGCCTGAGAAAAATGTACGTGTGCTATGTGGACTCATGCAAATTGAGTGACTTCACAAAAAAAAACAACTTATAGAAATTAAGTTTTCACTTAGTCAGTGCATTTTTTGTTTTTTTTTCTGTTTCTGCATTACTAATAGATGTGCAGACGAGGAAATTTTAGTACAGTCTGCAGTCTCCTAGCGCAACATATGCAAGTCATTAGTGATTTTAACAGAACCACACAACACAAGCAAACAATAAAATGTGCAAACTTCCATATGAGGCAGGATGAGGCCTGGCTTCACATCTCTCTTCTTGAAATGAGTGCTTCAGGATACTGATAGTTTTCTCCTGCTTGCTTTCTAACATGTGTCATGACTACAGGGCAGGCAATCACCAATCCCAGACAAAAAAAAACAAAAAAAAAACGGCTTCTTCAGTTGTGGGCAGCTACATGAATTCTGCTAGGTTAATCTTCTCTCTGTCCATTCTAGTGGACAGAATGTTATTCACCAGGTAATTCTTACATGTCATTCCTGGAGGAGCTTGTACAGCTTCATAACATTTCTATCGGTTTCCTTTCTCTTGATATTGACGAAAGGAGAAGGATGCCAGATGTGGGAAAACTCAAATTCTGGGCATCGTCTAGGTTTTCTTCACCGTGATGGACAGCTGTTGGGCCTCCCTTCCTCGACTCCACGAACTTGATCTGGATTTGGGTCGATCTGATAAAGGAAGAAATTAACTGAATTTTCAAGGCTACAGATATACAGCTACATTAAAAGTGAAACTTAATTATGTCATTAGGGGTCAGGGATCTGAAATCATTTGACACAAAAAAAATATTCCAATCTGGAAATTGGTATACATGGAAAAAAGAAAGGTTTATAACTGTATGTATCCTTCAAACATTTAAAATGTAATACTGACATCCTCAATGAACTTAAAGTGTGCACTGCTGCTGAGTGGCTCACCTCAGAGTAGAGTGGAGGGGGCTGGAAGCGGAACTCCTGGACATAAGCAAACAATGGTCCATCAAGTTCATCCCTAGACACGGGCACCTCCAGGCTGGTCCGTCTCTGCTCCTCGGTCACAATGTCTGTGTAGCTTGGAGGTGCTACAGATAAAGAGAACAAGGTATCAGCACCACATCTAACCCAAATAAGGGTCTCATGTTATTTCTCAGACTATCTGTTCTATATACTGCTTAGCATGCCTTTGTTTCTTTATGTTGGGTTCACCTCTTTTCAGGATAGTTACATAAAATTTACCTGGGCAAAGACTTTAAAGTACTGTGGTGTTTGCATTTAAAAATGGATAATTGTTTCCTGTAAAAACCGGTGGTGTGCAAAAACTTTTCACTGGTAGGGTGTGTATATAAACACACACACACACACACAGGTTTGTAATTATATCTTTGTGGGGACTCTCCATTCCTATCTATGGGGAAAACTCTAATCCCAACATGACAACCTTAACCCCTACCCAGCCATAACCTTAACCATAAGTAACCAAACTAAATGCAAGACTTTTGGCATTTTTAGTTTTTCGATTCATTTCACAGGTCTCTGTGGGGACCTGAAAAATCATCGCCCTAACATCAAAATAACAAGTTCTTGTTACATTGTGGGGAACATTTGGTCATTTTGCATAGACACTTTCACATGAAAGATCCGGAACATGGTCCCGGTTTACAAGACCCTGGGCTGTGTCATGCTGGAACCTTTGTAGCTCCAGGACACTTTTGTGTGTCATTTTCACACCACACAACAGGAAGTGGGACCTTTATGCTAAATAAGCACGGCAGACGCAAAAAGTTCGGAAGTTAAATTTCAAATGTAATTTTATATGAAACTACACTGCCACACCAAAATAATGAAGGACAAATAAGTTGTTTTGTTAGTTATTTCTTAGTTATTGGAGGGATCGAAAATGGGACACAACCTTTTATTTATATTTTAATTACATGACCTGTAACATGTTCATGATTCTTATTTATTAAATCTGGCCAGCAGATTGATTTTACATTTTCCACAGAATAAAAAACAATGCAATGTTTTAGCGCTAATAAGCACTGGCAAGTTTCACCGTGTAAGTATATTGGTTAGCAATAAAATGTTCTTTTTCGACATAACATCCAAGTTAGTGTCAGTGCTTGTGGTCAACCAATCACAAGCGGTCACTGTAAGCTCTTCCCCAGTAGTTCCTGTTACAACGAAAAGTACCTAGTCTGGAGTGGGTATTAAAAAGGGCTTGGTACTGCCACTGGAGCTACAATTTGGCCAAATCCCTGCAGTGTGAATATGACAAAAGTCCCTAATTCTGGAAAATGGTTCTGGTTCCAGAAAAAAAATTCCGGAAGGCATGAAAGCGCCTTATACAAAATCTGCTATAATGCGCATGTCAAATTCTGTGGAACTCCCCTACCTTCGGGCCTTTCGGGAAGTGCCATGCCAAGCCAGGTCATGGCCATGCTGCACTGACTGCTGACGCTGGAGGTCCGGCTGCCAAAGGGATGTAAGGGGATAGTCCCAATGACCAGGGGTAGGTTGAGGGACAAGTTTATGGCTCCTGGGATGTCCACATACATCTGCAAAAAGTAAAACAGAGAAAATTTTAAAAAGAAGAAAAAAAAAACAATGGACTTTGTTCAATCCAAAAATAAAAGAAATGTATTTTTTTTAAATAATAAAATAAAATTAAAATTTAGCACTGTAATGCAACAAGTTCCATCAGGATTAAGGATGGAGATCATCCGATTTCAAAGCCATGCAGCAGCATCCTTCAGAAAGAGACGTGTGTATTTCTGCCTTTCATCCAGATGCAATCCCAGAATATGATTGTATTAACTGCAACCTAAAATAGTTCATTTAAGCTCTGTCTTGGTCCTCCTTTGTTTTTTTTCATTCTCCACAACAGCTCATTTAACTTACAGTGACATCAACAGGTGCCATCAATTCTCCAAATTCAAATTATTAACACTTGTAGATTTAGATTAGATCAACTTTTCAGATTCCATAGGGAAATTACTGTAGCATTAAAAATTATTTAAATTTTTTTTAAAAAGTAATAAAAATAAAATGAAGAGGGGCTTGGTGATCATAAAAATGAATAATAATAATAATAATAATTATTATTATTATTATTATCATCAGTGGGCCTCATTCACCAATATTTTCTTAAGAATTCTCTTAAATTTGTTCCTGCGAAATTTGTTAAGAACAACCTACGTCGGATTCATGACATGTTCTTAAGTAGCAGAATTGTTCACACCTTTGTTCTTAAGAATGGTGAATCCCACGTCTTAGTAACTGAAAGTGTGTGCCAGTTTGTCCTAATTAGCATAGGGAAACGCCCTGCAATTTCCCATAAAAGGGCATGAGACTGTACGACCGTGTGCAAGCAATGGCGAAGAGACACACAGGCTGTGAGCTGCTTGGCACTAACAGGAAAAAAAAACTTAAGTAATGCAGAAGTAGAAGTATTAATTTATAACGGAATGTTATCTATAACGGACGAGGTCCTCTGGTACTGGCCGTGCGCCTTTAAGAACATGCAGAAAAAGCATCGGATATAGCGGACTCGCATTTAACGGAATTTCGCTTATAAAGGACAATTTAGTCCCCAGCGCCGCTTTTAGCTGTAGTTTTGTTCTGCTATAACCGACATGCAGCTCCACCGCAAGGCGCGTGGCGTGCCGGTGATATCCAGTGCAGGTACGTAGTCGGGATTATTAATAGTCACGCATCTGCTGAGGTAAAGCTGGATTACTAGATGTACAATATAATAATTTATAATAATTTAATGGGGTGTGGCATGAGTAAATGGTGTCCAATAGTTGTGTTCTGGGCATACAGCAACTCTGCATATAACAGACTTTGGATATAACGCACTGTTTTGCCAGGTCCCTTGAAGTCCGTTATAACAGGATCTTACTGTACAGGAGGTAAATGCAAATAGACACATGTTATTTAGTAGCGTAACCAGTGGATATAAAGCCCCAAAGAAAGCTGACACATGGAAAGATATCACCTTCTCTGTGAACGCTGTGTGCCAAATAAATCTAAATGATCTTCAAACATGCATTCCCTTCTCAGAGCACGATTGGCAAGCTCTTCAAGAAGTAACAGAAATGCCATTTTGATAGCAAGGCCAATGCGCAGAAACAGACCTATTTATAATCTGCATGATCGCCGAATGATTTTTTATATTTTACCTTTATAAATTATTCAAACACTTATTTTATGAACTGTAGAATGAACAAAACTGCTATAACCGATTATTTTGAACAAACTCTCATTACTCAAATGTGCGTACGAATGGTCTTGAGTGTGCGTAGATTCTGTTCTTAGCTAAGAACAAATTCAGATAAGAAAACATTGGTGAATGTCAGAATCTTCGTAAAAAAGTGCGTACATGGGGATTAAGAACAAATTTGTTTGTAAGAACGGTTGGTGAATGTGGCCCATTATTATTATTATTCATTTTTATGATCACCAAGCCCCTGTTCAGTTTATATTACTTATGCTTGTATTAGAAACAATAACACTATAATTTAATAATAGTGTAAAGTCACTAAATACGTTTATCACCTATTTAACAACAGGCATCAAAAGCTGATCTGATCAGAAATGTGTGAAGAGAACACCGTGGATATAATCATTACACTGTTAAAAAATTTTCCAGCTTCTACAGAAATTAAATATTCTAAAGGCAAATGAGTGGCCACGTCATAAATAAAGATTAACTTCTTTATAGTGTCCCTGTTCACCGTAAAAAGGTTTTGCACTACTAAGATATTCAGAGGCAGTCAGAGAGCTTCACTCACCATCACTGAATACTCCACTCTGATGATGGTGCAGTCCAGGATAGAGGGGGAAACTGGGGGAATTTTCAGCATCTTGCCGTTCCAGGTTTCCGTCTTTCCTGAAGACAACGACTCTCCTCGAAGGTTGGCGACCAACTGCTTGACTTCCTTCATCTTCCCTTTGGCATAGAAGGTCTGTGTTTGGTAAATCGCTGCTTTTGGCACAACCATACGAGAGGAGCAGTTTTCAATTTCAGCAAAGATCTGGATAGATTCTCCTGCAAGACCAAAAACAACATATATATAATTACTTATCTTACAAGTTTATCCCAAGGAACAGAGAAGTTTCAGATGGATAATTTACTAGCGTAATTAAGTTTAATACCCTTCTAATTGGTAATTATAACAAGGCCTTTCCACTTGACTGACAAGTCTAAGGCCCAACATTAGTATTTTTTAATACTTAACGATCTTGATACGGATCTTGTATGATTTTGTGTACAATTATAAGGAAATTCCAAACACAATACAGTTGAATTTAAATTAATTTAAAAGAAGATTGAAAACAGAATGTGGTTTAGAAAAGGCAGCAAACTAACACTGACAAATCAACAATAAACTGAAAATCCTCAGTTACATTTGACACCAATGAGCAACGTTAACTGATGACGATACTGTCAGTCTTGCTTCAGTGGCCATACCTGGGGTGTAACCCTTTCTGTCAATTTTGGCACTTAAGGAAATAGGGCCTGAGGTGCAAAACCAGCAACATAAAGTCTTTTCTTTTGTGCTTGCCTGGGGTGACTGCAAGGGACAGAAGAGATTACTTCAACATGAGAACATGGAATAACAATTAGAGCTTCTTCAATTACTTTATTGTGTAACACCAAAAAATTACAGTGTATTTTACTGAAACCAGTGTCCCCCAAAGAAAAAAATTTAAAAGCACATATATATAAAAATAAACACTGATGGTTTTGTAAAAACATTAATAAAAGTCAACAGAACTGCCTTAGTGACTACTCAAAAGAGGTTTTATACATACACACACACACATAAAATCTACATATATTCCGAACAAATACCACTCCAAAAAGGCAATCTACAGAAGGCCTAAAGAAGGGACTGCAGACAATCCATTCAGTTCTTTGCAATACACGTTTAGAAAGCAGCCAATGTCATCAGAAATTTATTACTGATAATCTAATCAGACCACAAAAATTCAAATATAAAAAACTTTTACTGAGAAGTTTTACTTTAGCTTCATTTAACTGAGGCAAACTTTTTTAATCCCTTCGGTGTTACAAATATTGCAGTGGAATTCATTTTTACATACCCATCTGCTGCTAGTGACCAATTATTTGTAAATATTGACGGTTTTTTAAAAACCTACCAGCAATAAAGGAGTGTTGATGTCAATGTGTTCAAAGACTGTGAACTCCTTCTTCACTTTCATAGGCAGCAGCCATGGTCTATGAAGCTCAGCTTTAACCCAGTATCGCACACTGCCATGTTTGCCTTCAAAGGAGGTAGCCAGAGGTCTGTAGATAATATAGGGGTGTAACAATATGCTCAACATCTCCCAGCAGAATCTGACAAATATTATTTTTCCTCTGATGACATTACTGCATCTTTCGTCTTTTTTTTAACTTATAATTTAACACGATTAACCAAAACACATTATATTAAGTGGCTACTCACATTTGTGGAAGCTCAAAACTGAATGCATACTCATGTCTTCCTGAATGGATAGTGATCAGACTTTCTTCTGAGTTATCATCATCTGAAGAAAAAGCACAAAATACAGTCAGAATGCACCTTAAAGTGTATCTTACTATCTAAAACGCATTAGCTGATTACCCGATAAAACAAAAGATACACACGTTACAACCAAACTTACATTTATATGACAATGTTTCTTCAGGATTTATAAAATTGGAGCATTTCTGATAGTTTTAGTTTATTAATATAATTTTAGTTTATTTATATACATTAAGAAAAAAAAAGTGAAATGCAGTAGACCCGGACCTGTATGCAGCAAATGGCTACATTTCATTACTGTATGTATACACAGAAACTATTATCTTAAAACGTTAAAACAAAATATCCTGTAAATGTTCCTTGTGTTTCAGTTTTCAGACAAAACATGGGGGAGGGGCAGAAAGGTCCTTAAATTGATGTTTCAGCCTTAAAAGTGGAATCGTCCAGTCTTAAAAATAAAACACCACTGAGTTTTATAAGTACTATTTTTTCCTCCTTATATCTCATTTATCGCTACCTGATCAGTCTTGCCATATTAAGCCGACGCGGACGCAGTAAACAAGTGCGGAGCAGCCAATCACAGGCGGAGGCGAGCAGGAGCGGACCGGCCTGAACCGGAACAGGCAGCCGCGCGGCGCCGCGAGCGGCCGTCATTCCGCCGCAAAGCTCTGCAGCTTTATCCCAGAACGTTTGCTTAGACAAATCCACAGTTTCTATCGCTAGTCATGAAAGACACCCGTAAAAAGCTGACATATTACATCGGTTTTACTGTTTTCTTTTCTTGCAAAATAAGTTGCAAATTTAGCGTATAAACGCCCGACTCTACTTAAAAACGCAACAAAAATCCATATATATTTTTTTTCTTGTGAAAAGTAAAGTTGCAAAGGTGCAACGTCAATAACACGCAGCCATAAAGTGCAACTTCTAACATACCCAGAAAGTCTTTAGGCTGCCGTCTACTATTATTTATATTATGTTATTTCTCAGGCAACACTTTGAAATTACCGTCATGGCAACAGGCTTACAGGCAAACTCCACCATAATCATCCGCAAAGTGACAAGGCTCATAAATGACATAATATGCAGTATGCTAGATAAAACAGAACAGTACAGGTTTTGTACTTTAACACGAACACTTCCAGTCTGGATTCAGCCTTGCATTTTTTTCCACAATGTAATGTAATGGGGACTTTTCTTGAAATAGACTTGCAGCATGCCCTTGATTAAAGGTAGATTTATTTATTAATTATTGTCGTTGTTTCTAGACTCCAGATACCGTTAAAGACGGATGGGAATCCCAACCAATCCGGAGGCAGGAAAGCAAGTCCCCCCCCCGCCCCTAGTTTCTGAACAGGATTAAACCGCTTTTGACAAAGGCTAGAATCACCTTAACAAGTATATATACACACACAATATATATATATATAAATATAAATACTAAAAAAGGAAATGCAAGATATAACTACTACCATTACTGACGGGCTGTTAGTTAAACTATAATCATATATTGATTATATAATTACTATACTTTTGCACTGTTACAGCAAATGCTACCTAATTACTTATATTAGCTTTGTACTTGGTCGAATAATTAATGTACTGGGATTATTATTTTGTGATTATTGCAAACAGTCACACACTTTCTTAAAATCCTTAAATAACAGAATTGGAAGACACTATTTGCATACGTACTGTACCCATTCATTAAGTTTGCATACCTAGGCACTGTTACATTTACATCAGGAACCGTCTAATATAGTACTATTCGAAATAATGACATTTTACCAAAAATAGTTACATTGCTTAACGGTTGTTTAAATACAAAATTGTTAAGGAATGCTGGTGTTTAAAGCATTGGGGAGTGCCACTATCTCATAGTAAGATGTGCTTAATGCTGTGCATTTGAAAACTTAGTATGGTTGAGTACTGTATGTTTCAAGAATGCATATTCTTGCAGGATACTGCAGAACATCGTAGATGTCATTCTAAAAGCATACAGGCTGCTTTAACAACTGTATATAAAAAGAAAAGCAAGCTACAAACTAAAGACAGACCCTTTCCCTTACCTCGTTCATGCCCAATTAAGATATCTTTGTAGTTTAAGTATTCCACTTCTTCAGAATAATTCTGAGTATAAGCGGTGTTGGATCCGGCATTTCGAGATTCTGTCCAACGGACTTTTGCACATCCCTTTGCGCGTATTTTGAGCGATTTCACTCGGATTTCACCGGTCACTTCAATGATCACCCTCCCTGAGATTGAATCCCCACTTGAGAAAACGGGGACATTACTGTCATTGAGACAATCGTAGCTTACTGTGAAGCTCTTCACCTTTCCTAGCACCATGGTAATAAGAAACTATTACAAACTGATATTAACAAAAATCTATGAAAATAAATGTAAAGGTCACTGATCAGTGCCTCCGCCTTGCAGAAGCTGCAGGCACGATCAGTGCTTTTCCAGCAAGCAGTTCATTGAGATCTAAAGGCTGAATAACAGCAATAGATGCTGTTACCGTCGCCTATGCAGCTGCGTGGTCTCTGCTCGAAGACAAGCTGCTGCCGTCGTTCAGGTCGCTTTAAGGGGAGCTTTATGAAAAACAACATCACTGGGCATGCGCATGTGCGGTAATTCATCTACTCTATGCTGCCGCCTGATGCTAAGGCATGGAAAGTGTTTTTGTCAGAAATATTGGCCACCCCAAAATCACAAAGAAAAGACTAGTCGGGCATTAATGTCCATCAATAAACATACTACAAAATAAGTGAAGTGAAGTGTGTGGCTGAAAAATTAGTTAAACCTAGCTCAATTATCACAAACAAGCTCGCACGATTCATACAGGCGTTTTGGCATCAGGTGTATGGTCTTTACACTATGACGGGGACATTTTGGTATTTCAGTTCACTGGCAGTTTTGCATTTGGAAATTGTATACAACAGAGTTTAAAACATTAATTTTACACTTAAACGAATTCAGGGTTTCAGTCGTGATTAAACTCTCTGTATCAAATCGACTTACTGTGGTTATTGTACATGTTATTCACTGAAAAGAGCGGTTGATCCAAAACACTACCAATTTCCAATTAAATTAAAGCATTTCCAGGAGGATATATTGCATGTATGAGAACATAGTCCACCTATAGTAACTGAAGTAGAAGAGTCTTTCACAACAAACTTTCCATAGCAACAACAAAATAAGTACTAAAATTTACTCTTGCCCGCCATCTCGTGGTGGGTTTAATATTACACAGTGCGTTGGTGGTTTCAGAGCAGTATATCTATCTATCTATCTATCTATCTATCTATCTATCTATCTATCTATCTATCTATCTATCTATCTTCATGCAGGGGTCACCCTGCTAATGGTATTAGTAGTAGTAGTAGTAGTAGTAGTAGGAGTAATTGAGTCTTCAGCTGACAAAGTAGGTTACAAAGCTCCAGGGTTACACACAGATTACAAATTAACTTTGAAGGAACCTTAAGGTGACCAGTTTTTCAAAATAACTTAATACAAAAAAAAATATCCTGTGTTAGCAAGTTGCAATTAATACACTGCCTAGCCAAAAAAAAAAATGTCGCCATTTGAATTTTTCGTTGGGCTGCCTTTAGCTTTGATTATGCCGCATATTTGTCATGGCATTGTTTCCACAGGTTTATGCAACATCTCACCCTTTATTTTCATCCACATTTGCATTAATTTCTCACCGAGATCCTATATTGACAAGTGAGTTGAACCACTCCATAAAGCCCCCTTCAGCACATACCAAAGACCTTCAATGGGGTTAAGGTCACAACTCTGTGGTGACCAAGTCATGCATGAAAATGATTCCTCATGCTCCTTGAACCACTCTGACAATTTGAACCCAATGAATCTTGACATTCTTGTCCTGGAATATGCCCATGCCAACAGGGAAGAAAAATTCCATTTATGATGGATGGAGGTGTAACCTGGCCATTCAGTAGATTCAGGTACTCTGCTGATTTTACTTTATTGCTGTATAACGTTGAGCTATAATAATGATCCAGTCCCTGGTTCTTTAGTGATAAATTGAAATGGTGACTTTTTTTTGGTCGGGCAGTATATATAGTGGCTTCTGAATTAAGCTACTTCTGTTCCATTTCCATTGCCAATTATACCACACGATTATATAAATTTATTTAGACAATAATGATTGCAGAGATTTTGTACATAGATTTTGTACATAGTGTAGTGATCATTCATCAGTCTTTAACCATCAATATTGTAGATAAAATCTTTTCAGCAGTTAAACCACCTCTTTTAACCTTTGTATGTCAATCATAGAGGTTGTTGTTCATGGCCAGTAAAATATTCACCTTCAAGGGTTATCTCTTTTGTCCATTTACTTGGTAGGTGACATTTCATTGTAGAGTAGGTCTGTTATCTACAGCCTTTAAGGTTGGGAGATGAAGTCCAACCTTCGCACAGTGTGTGTGAAGTTTGCAGGTTCCCCCATGCCACAGAGGATTTCTCTAGATTCTTCAGTTTCCTTCTGAAGTTCAAAGACATGCAGAGGAGGCTAATTTGTGTCACTAAATTGCCTTTAAGAATGCATCTATGCATGTATATGCTCTGTGATGGACTGGCATCCAGTTCAGATTGTACCCTGCCTTGTCTCCTGTGCTGCCTTGGATGGGATCCATGCACCCAAAACCCTGACAGACAGCCTGGTCAGAAGAAGGATGAATGGAAAAAAAAACTGTCGATTAAATGTCTAATGTGCCTTTTATATTAGTGGTTCCCAGTACTCCCGGAACCTCATCAATGCTAGGGAGTTTGGGCAGGGTTGGTTAAATTCACAAACTGTAAAGTATTCATCTCCCCTGACATTTGGTTAAACTTATTAAATTTGTCATACCAATTGATCTCTCTTTCCCTCATGCCAATAACCTGCTGGTATACACATGTCTGACTGACTGAAAGTTAGGGAGGATATAAAATGTATGCACACTCTAGTTAAAATGCCAGATTTTTGAGATGTGAAAAAATTAGACCATGATAAATCATAAAACAAATTCCATATAACTTGTCCAATTCAATTGAAAAACAAACAAATCTGTTAGGGGAAAATATTTTAAAAATGTATAATAAGCTGGCTGTATAAGTGCATGTCTTGTCATTTCATCAATTTTGGAGGGATGTCCAATTCTCGGTAATGTCACTATTGTTCAATTTTTTTCACCACTTCTTGATGACTGTCTTCACTGTTCCATGGTATATCTAATGCCACAGAATTTTTTTTGTACCCTTCTCCTGACTGATACCTTTCAACAATGAGATCCCTTTGATGTTTTGTAAGCTCTCTGCGAACCATGGCTTTTGCTGTAGGATGCAACTCAGTAAATGTCAGGAAAATCCTACTAGTACAGCTGAACTTTATTTGGGGTTAATCAGAGTCACTTTAATTGATGACAGGTGTGTACCCAAAAAGACTGAATGCTGTAATTAAATCAAAAGGTGCTTCGACAACGTATTAGTTTAAGGGTGTGAACACTTGTGCAACTACCTTATTGTTTGTTTTTTATTTTTTTATACTTTTCCCTCTAACAAATTTGTTTGTTTTTCAATTGAATCGTACAGATTACAGGTTACATTAAAGGTGGGAAATATTTTGAAATGATTCTTCATGGTCTCATTTTTTTACATGACAAAACCTGGCATTTTGACAGTGGTGTGTGAACTTTTTATATCCAATGTACACAGCAGGCAGACAGGGTCAAGTTCAGTTACCATTTTGTTAATCATTAGAATAGGTAAAATGCATCATCTAAGTGAATTTTAATATGCTGTGATTTTTGATGCCAGACATGGTGCTGATAGCATTTTAGAAACAGCCACCATTCTGGTATTTTCATACTCTGCAGCAGAGGTATTTAAACTGTGGGGTGTGCCCTGCTTGCCCCTAGATACAGGGGATGCAGGTGAGGGGGGAAAAAAGAAAACAGAAATGTGTGCAGGATTTGAGGTGGGGGCAGACTCAAAATTGCAACCTTTAGAAACATTAAAAATAACGGAGACACATTGAATGACTGTATCCATTGTAATGTTAATAATTTGAAATATTTATAATGTGTAACATATACATGCACCATGTACTGAATACATCAAAGTATTATGACAAGTGATGCAACAATATTTTACAGTGAGAAAGTGGTTAACGCCTTTATAATGCGCTTTGAATTGCCTTGCTTCTGAATAGTGTTGTACTGTATATGTCACGATCCGCTCCGTTCGATCCTGATGTGTGCCACGCCCACCTCGTTACCTTGTGTGTTTACCGATTGTTATCACCTGTTACCCGTTCTTTCCAGCTTGTCTTGTGTATTTAGTCCGCGTCTGAGTTAGTTTCCCCAGGTCTGTCATTGACGTCGTTTGCTGTGAAGCTCCCCTGTCTGCTTTGGTTCCTTTAATAAATCCTTTTTGACCGTGTTCACGGCTCACTTGCCTGCTTCCCGGATCGCCCGGACACGCAACCTGACAGTATAAATAAACTTGTTTTGCCTTGTGTGCATACTTGAAAGAACCATATAAAAATTTCTAGCTGCTAGTAGTGTTCAAAGAAAATGTGGTGGTGAAGCAACACTTAATTATATCAGAAAATATGATGGCACATAGCCGGAATGCGGTTTTACTTCAATTATTGTTATGGAAGAGATACAGCCGTTTTGTGTGGTCTGGGTGTGTACGCTGTCTGATGACCAGATTAAAACAACACCCAGGGATGAATCAGACACCTTGTTGGAAAATCAAAAGTTTTTTTATTTAAAATAAATTACACAAAATTGAGGCAGAGAAAAGGTGAAATGCATTGCACAAATGCCTGCTCAGGTTTTGAAAGCATCTTGTCAAGAGGCATTTTGTATCATAAGGTCAAAGAAGCCATATGCAATTGACATGTGCTCTGCAATACTAAAGGTGATTCCACTGTCCAACATTCATTGACAGTGGGTCAATGAATAAGTGTCAGAAAATGTACACAAACTTATAGCATGACTACAGGTCTAGAAATTTGCTATTCAGTTGGACAAACCCACACCATTGCAATAGATGCCAACTTAATTGGATTTGCCAGGTACACTAAGAAAAGGAAGATTGTGGAGGGCTTGATGTTCTACAAACCTGTGAAAGACCATGCTAATGAATCATTAATGTTCTCAATGACTTCTTTCAGGACAACCACTTGAGGTTGGATTTACTTTCCATTTGCACCGATGGCAATCCTGCTATAAGTGGCGCACGAGGGGCCTTAAAGGCAAAGGTGATGGAGATAGCTCCACTTGTGAGTTTGAATCATTGTGTTATTCACTGCATGGCTCTTTTCACTATTTTTTCAACCAAAGCTACAGCATACCTAGCATACCTTTCAGATATCTTTGATGAGTTAAGCTTGCTAAATTTGTCACTGCAAGGAGCTGACATCAGTTTTTTGACATGCCATGGAAAATCTCAGCATTTAAATACTTCAGGATCTTGTTCACGAGTGATGGAAAATGGGAGTTAAGTCATCAGAGCGCACGGTTTACTGGTCATTCTATGTCCCTATCCTGACCAATGGACTGAAAGCTGTGGGAAATGACCAAAAGGTCACAAGTACAAATGGCTACAATGAGGTCACTCCACAGGGTAGCTGGTCTGTCTGCAGTAAGGTGAAGAGTTTGAAAATCCCAAGGGACCTCAAAATCAAACAACTTCAGGATGTGCATCTGTTTTTGGATGAAAGACTTGACCTTTCCATTTGCTGGTGACAGCAATTTCCTTGTTTGCGGGCAGATATAGGTACATAAAATGCTTTGAAAAAATTTCAAACTGTGGTTAGCTGTGCATTAAGAAACATGTGAGTACTGTAACTGGCAATGACGGTGATACATGGCTCTTATGAGTCAGGCCGAGGCTTTAGAGAACTCCATTATTTTGAACCATGAGGAAAAAACGCCTTGGTAACATGGAAATTACACAGTATATAGAATACAAGAATGTTTTAAAAAATTAATTCAGTTAAATTAAATTAAATTTAATTGAACTGAATTGAACTTGTATTACCGCTATAGCAGCGGTAATACAAGTGGAATTTGGTCATGCATTATTTCATTATTCAACTTAAAATCTGTGATATTTGAAGCCTATAAATATTTAAGTCTGAATATTAAGTAATAAAATAAGCCACTTGTTGAAGAGAAAACTATTACTACTTTGAGAGTGTAATGTGGAATTGAACTGTTTAAATATGAATGAGAAAATCCCTCTGCGTCTGCGTGCACAATTATTACAATTAATGAATGATTCGACATTTTTAGTCCTTTGACTCTGATAGATAATTTTAATAGTTACATTGACCAATGAGAAGTAGAGATCACACAGTTTGACCACAGGGAACAATTTAAATGGTCAAGAAGTAATCGAAGCAGAGAAATTAGCTATTGATCCCATATACCTTTTAATATGCAATCTATTGATTTACTCTTTAGATAATTCAGATGTTTTCTCCATGGGAATCAAGTAATATAACATTCAATGAGTAAACATGAATTTGAGGGCATCAGTTGGGAGGAGGGGTCTCACAGTGGGGGGTGGGAAATGGGGGGGGGGTGACTGATTGGAGGGTGGTTCTCAGTAAATTGATGCAAATTTTGTGTGACCATCTCTTATTTAAAAGGCTACTTGGTAAAATGTTCTGGCTGGGGGGAGGTCCCCTTGGTAAATTTTGCAGTGACTGAATGTACCTCTACTCCCTGCCTCCTCCGCTAATGTACAGATTATTGATTATATAGTATCTTTACTCACCAATTTGTTAGTATTAATCATATAAACCGATACATAATTCTGGAAAGCACAGGTTCACAGCAGTGCAACCCATATTTAGACAGTAAAAAAGACATTTAGACATAGTGACAATAAATAAATAATAAACAACTAATAAACAGTGCAGTGCAATGAATGTTGAAAGTATAAAAAAGTAATAATATTGCTCAGCTGGTAGTACAATTCAGGTCCATTCAGACAGCTGGTCGTCCCCTCCTGCTGCAGCTTGACTCATTGTTGAGTGTATGTAATAAGGTAGAAAAAATGTTATAGCACACATTGAAGTAGCACAACTATATCTGTCTGATGCTGAAAGGGCTCCTCTGTTTGGCTAAGACAACCTGTAGAGTGTGGGAGTGATTGTCCAGTATAGTCACAGGGCTTACAAAATCGCTAGCCTAATGTCCTGGGACAATCAAGTTTTCCCGTCAGGCTACCAAAATGTAATAACAACCTGCACGACGGGCTATTAGAAATGATCCCCTAAGCAAAATAAAAATCTCTCCTTTGTTCTACTTCTCTCCTCTTCTGGAGCCGACACCTTATCGTGGTGGAGGGGTTTGCGTGTTCCAATGATCCCAGGAGCTAAGTTGCCCGGGGCTTTATGCCCCTGGTAGGGTCACCCAAGGCAAACAGGTCCTGGGTGAGGAACCAGACGAAGTGCGGCTCCAAAGACCCCTTATGATGAGTAAAAACATAGATTCATGTTTTCCCTTGCCTGGACGCGGGTCACCGGGCCCCCCCCCGGAGCCAGGCCTGGGGGTGTGGCTCGATGGCGAGCGTCTGGTGGCCAGGCCTGCACCCATGGGGCTTGGTCGGGCACAGCCCGAATGAGGCACATGGGTCCCCCCTCCAATGGGCTCACCACCTGTAGGAGGGGCCAAAGGGGTTGGGTGTAGTGTGAGTTGGGCAGCGGCCAAAGGCGGGGACCTTGGCGGTCCGATCCTCGGCTGCAGAAGCTAGCTCTAGGGACATGGAATGTCACCTCTCTGATGGGGAAGGAGCCTGAGCTGGTGCGCGAGGTTGTGAAGTTCCGACTAGATATAGTCGGGCTTACCTCGACGTACGGCATGGGATCTGGAACCAGTCTCCTTGAGGGGGGTTGGACTCTCTTCCACTCTGGAGTTGCTCACGGGGAGAGGCGCCGAGCAGGAGTGGGCATACTTATTGCCCCCTGGCTAGGCGCCTGTATATTGGGGATTACCGTGGTGGATGAGAGGGTAGCCTCCTTTCCAGTGTTAATTTTGACAGCAAATCTTTATTTAGTTTTACTCAGTCTTTTGACTAAAATGTAATTTAGTTTCAGTCATAATTTAGTCATCTAAATTATTTTAGTTTTAGTCTAGTTTTAGTCGACTACATATCATAAGATTACAGTTGACTAAAACTACAGTTGATTTAGTCGACTAAAATTAAAAGTGCAAAGTATAATGTCTAAAGTTTCCCTTCGATTTCTGAAACTCATTATGTTCACCAAGAAAGAAATGAAACAAATGTTAAGGAATGGTATTAAGGTCTAACTGTGCAGTACACAAATACACAGATTTCACTCTTATGTGAAACACAAACAATTGTTTATTTAGCCGGAATCTGAGTACTGTCAAATCAGGAGTGCCATTAGTGCAAAAATAATAATGCCACCAGGCCTGCTCTCTCTGAATATTAAAATAAAAATATTAAAATAAATATTTGTAATATTTTTATTTGCTATTGTTCACTGTTAATTGTTTCACCTGAAATTCTCAAATATGTTTAAAGAAAAAGACCAATAATGGTCTTAGGGCTTTATACCCATTATCAAGAAAAAAAAAATCCAAATATTGAAAACATACTATATAACTTTGTCATAGTCTTAGGCCTTGCAAAATCATTTTTATTTAGTTATCGTCTCGTTTTAGTCTGAAAATAAACGTCGTTGACGAAAAATTTTTGTTAACAAAATTAACACTGCTCCTTTCACCTTCGGGTGGGGGGATGGAATCTGACTGTTGTTTGCGCTTATGCGCCAAACGGCAGTTCAGAATACCCACCATTTTTGGAGACCTTGGAAGGGGTGTTGGAAAGCGCTTCTCCTGGGGACTCTCTTGTTCTGCTGGGGACTTCAATGCTCATGTGGACAATGACAGTGAAACCTGGAGGGGCGTGATTGGGAGGAATGGCCCCCATGATCTGAACTCGAGTGGTGTTTTGTTATTGGACTTCTGTGCTCGTCACGGATTGTCCATTATAAACACCATGTTCAAGCATAAGGGTGTCCATATGTGCATTTGGCACCAGGACACCCTAGGCCACAGTTCAATGATCGACTTTGTGGTTGTGTCATCGGACTTGCGGCCGCATGTATTGGACACTCGGGTGAGGAGAGGGGCGGAGCTGTCAACCGATCACCACCTGATGGTGGGTTGGCTCTGCTGGTGGGGGAGGAAGCCGGTCAGACCTGGCAGACCCAAGCGTATAGTGCGGGTCTGCAGGGAACGTCTGGCAGAATCCCCTGTCAGAAGGAGCTTCAACTGCTACCTCTGGCAGAACTTCACCTATGTCCCGGGGCAGGAGGAAGACATTGAGTCCGAATGGGTAATGTTCCGTGCCTCCATTGTGGGCAGCTGACCGGAGCTGTGGTCGTAAGGTGGTCGGTGCCTGTCAGCGGCAATCCCCGAACCCGCTGGTGGACACCAGTGGTGAGGGATGCCGTCAAGCTGAAGAAAGAGTCCTATCGGGCCTTTTTAGCCTGTGGGACTCCGGAGGCAGCTGATTAGTACCGGCGGGCCAAGCAGAACGCAGTTTCGATGGTCGCTGAGGCAAAAAAATCGGGTATAGGATGAATTTGGCGAGGCCATGGAGAACGACTTCCGGATGGCTTTGAGGAGATTCTGGTCTATCATCCAGCGGCTCAGGGCGGGAAAGCGTTGTAGGATCAACACTGTTTATAGTGGGGATGGGGCGCTGGGTTGGTGGAAGGAATACTTCGAAGACCTCCTCAATCCCACTGACATGCCTTCCAATGAGGAAGCAGAGTCTGGGGACTTGGGGGTGTTCTCCCCTATCTGTGGGGTGGAGGTCGCTGAGGTGGTTAAAAAGCTCCTAGGTGGCTAGGCCCCAGGGGTGGATGAGACCGCCGGAGTTCCTCAAGGCTCTGGATGTTGCAGGACTGTCTTGGTTGACTCGCATCTGCAGCATCGCGTGGACATTGGGGGCGGTGCCTCTGGATTGGCAGACCGAGGTGGTGGTCCCCCTCATCAAGAAGGGGGACTGGAGGGTGTGTTCCAACTATAGGGGGATCTAGTGATGCACGATAATGCATTTTTCAACCGATACCAATAATCGATAATTTGCTCCTCCTTACAGCCGATAGCCGATAATGTCAAACCGATATTTGTATTAAAAGACCTAATAAAAAAAAGGAGTACAGAAAAACAAGAACAAATGTAACTTTACAAAAGCAGAATTTATTTCTACTTTTTCACATTAATGTGGACAGGCATCAAATCCAACATCCAACCTACAACAAATTGTCAATGTGTAATGGTAAGCTTTTAGGAAAAAAAAAATTAAATACTTCATTGCACAACAAGGCTCTTAAAAGTAAGCCATTTTTTGTAATGTTGAACATAACATTAAAGAATAATATATAACATAATTGGTCTATTCACAGAACAGAATATAACCACAGTAGGATCTGTGCAAATTTGGAGGCTAAATTAAGTTCATAATTATCGGATTTCATTATCGGTTGAATTTTTCATTATCAAAATTATCGGTGTGACGTCATAATTGCGATTATCGGCCGATAATTATCGGTGACCAATAGCAGCAACAACACAAAAAGGGCTATTTACAACTGCACGCGTGGCATGCTGGGACATGCGCAAGTAGGCCAAACGGCACTTGGCTCACCGACGCCACAATACATACAATTTATACTTAAATAGACAAAGACTCCATAACAGGGAACGGGTACAACAGTCCACAGGGGCAGTTGCAACATTAATTAAAATGTAATGAAATTATTTTTGTGTTCATCTGTATGTGGATATAATGTAGCTTATGTGTGTGTGACAGAGAGATGGTAAGAGAAGGAAATTAGTCTACATCAGACTCGCAGTTGTGGCAAGTATAAAAGGCTCCTCCCACAGTACAACAGCATGTTGCAACTTTCCCACCAATGAGAGTCACAATAAAATTTGCTGTACTAGCCTGATAGCTTTGACACATGCCTGTTAGGTCAGGTCAGGTCAGGTTGGGGAACATGCGCTGATGCAGTGCATTGCAGCATCACAGCACATGGCAAAACTCTTCAGGGGTTGGTGACCCCACAGGCAGGCACACAGTCCAGTCCCACCATCCATCTGCCACAGCCAGGGCATCCCCTCAGGTCCTCAGCAACGAGGATCCTGTGAACTGGGTCACCCTCAGGGAAACATGCCATATGGCCAAAGTGCCATAACTGATGCAGCCTCACAATGCACATAATGTGCTTCATTGGGGACTCCTCTAACAACCACTCATTCAACACAAAGTCAAACCACCGGTACCCAAGGATTCTCTGAAGAAACACAGTACTGAAGGAATCCAGTCTTCGTCTCAGCTCACTGGATAGTGTCCATGTCTCACAGCCGTATAGCAAGGCAGGGAGCATCAGGACTCTAAATACTTGGACCTCTTGCATAGATATGGGATCAGCACACACCCCTTTCCAGTGCCCTCATGACCCCCCAAACTCTCCCAATCCATCTGCTGACTTCATTGGATGAGTCACCAGGGACATGAATGTCGAGGTAAGTGAATCTCTAAACGTGGTTGACAC